CTGAGGGCTGCTGGGAGCAGGGGGTGGGGCTTGTTGCATGTGCCCGCCCCCTGGGCTCCTTACTGCTGGAGCTCTGCTCCTGTGCGCTCCTGTAGGAAATGACCCCTGCCCTTTAGGCTATGACGCTCAAGATACTTAGCGCCCAAGATCCTTTATTTTTCTCTATTGATGGCATGATTTAAGGCCAAGGAACAGTGCAAGAAGGAATGGAGGTAGATGGAACTGGGTGATTGGAAAGGGGACAGATCCCTTGAGAAAGCAGCTGGGAAACCGGCCTTTCCAAGGAAAAAGGGCGCCCCCCCCCCCGATGCCAGCATCTTTTTTCTTAAAAAGATTTTTTTTAAAAATGGCAGATCATTTTCCCCCACCCCAGTCCAGCCTGATTTTAACTTGAAGCCGCCATTCGGCATTCTTCTCTTGTGTTGAATCTGCAAGTGGGCAATGCTGGATTTAAAACACGCCCATCCCCCACATGCCAGCACTTAACGTGGACAGCATTTAATGTATGCTACGGGTCATCGTCCCTGGTCCGCATAATCACAGTGTGGGTGTAGTCTAGCGAAATCTTTTTAACAAAGTCCGGTGGCACCTTTAAGACCAACAAAGTTTTATTTAGGGGATAAGTGTTTGAGCGCACGCACAATTCTTCAGATACATTTAAATGGAAGATGCCAGTCCATACGTATAGGTAGAGGGTGAGCAGCAACTTAGCATACGGCATAATAAAAGTGTTTAACAGATGCAAGGTGTTAAACAACTGAAGAAGTGTGCGTGCGCATGAACGCTTATACCTTGAATAAAACTTTGTTGGTCTTAAAGGTGTCGCGGGATTCAGACTGCTTTGCTGCGTCAGACCAACACGACTACCCACCCACCTGAATACATCTTCTTAACTGTGCTACTGGACTGCTTTTATTTATTTATTTATTTATTTGTTTGCATTTTTACCCCGCCCTCCCCGTGAACGGGCTCAGGGCAGATTACACAGGGGCATAAGCCCATACACAACACAATATAAAACAGTGAAACCATTAGATCACACAAACAGATAAAGTGCTCCATGCAGACAAGATGGTCTCTGAGGATGGTAGCAATCATTTCCTTAGGTGAATTTGTCCTATCGATGGTCCAAGCCAGTTCAGCGGCATCAGTGCCATGCAAATTTATGGCCGTTCTTCCGGGGACCACTCCCAACCCTGTTGTTTCAGTGGTGGTGGTAGTAGAAGTGGTGGCCCCTATATAAAAGCCTGGCGGAAGAGCTCCGTCTTGCAGGCCCTGCGGAACTGCATAAGGTCCCACAGGGCCCTGATTTTCTCCGGGAGCTCGTTCCACCAGGTGGGGGCCACTACTGAAAAAGATCTGGCCCTGGGTCGCAGCAAGCTTTACCTCCCGGGGGCCTGGAATCTCCAGGCGATGTTGCGTCCCCGACCGAAGTGCTCTTGGGGGTATGTATGGGGTATGTATGGGGAAAGGCGGTCCCTCAGGTAGGTCGGACCCTGGCTTTGTAATAAATGCTTTTTTGGAATGCTGTAATGTGCAAAACACCTTGTAGTTTTTGTTTTTTTTAAGCTGGTGTTAAGGGAAGGGTTCTGCCCCCTTTCCAGCCTCCGCTCTAACTTCCCCTCTTGCAAAACCCTTTTTTTCTGCTTGGAAAATTGCTCTGTGCATTTTTAACACTTTGTGTGCATGATAAGCATGGCTTCCTCCCTGCTCCCAAACCTTTTCATCACAGATTTCTGTAGAAGAAGCAGGTCTCCCGGGTATGCTGTTTTGCATCTGAGGATCTTTATCTTTGACTGAAATGAATAGAGAATGGGAACCGGTTGCATGTAACTGAATTTGCACAGGGCTTTACACGGGGGGGGGGGGGGCCCCTTTCCCCCCCCCCTTCATCAGCCTAGTTTGGTAAAGCCGGTATTTGCAAATCAAATCTGAAAGAAAAACTGCCTTTAACAGTCTTTGCATCAACGTTCACACCATTATCAGTGGATTCGCATAAAACCTATTGTCCAGGGGACCAGCACTGAAATGAACGAAACAAGCTACCTAAGGTTCAGTGTTAACAGATTTTGGCTTGGCGAAACAAGCAAACAGAAGATTGGGGTATAAGCTTTTTACACTTACGAAGTTGTAAACTTTAAACTTAAAAAGTTAAGTAGTAAGGTAAGGGACTGCCGGAATAACAAAAGGGAGTCACCTGGACAGACAAATCCAAGAGGGCAAATTAGAAGACAGGTTCAAGATTGAAAAAGCAGTAGAGGTTTTCTTCTGCTCGAACTCTCCTGATTGTTGGCGACTGACTCAGAAAGGTGTCTTTCCCTGGCTGGCTTGCATCTGTGTTCATTACTGCAGAAATCTGTCTTATCTCAACTAATTCTGCTTGCTTTGTGACTAGCCGATGTGGTCCTCCCCCCAAGACCATCTTGGAATTATGCCTAGATCTGTTTCCTCTTATTTGGCAGAACTGTGGGGAGAGAAACTATCCCCATCTCTGCTTGTGTACCCCAGATTTGGCTAGGCAAAAATCTCTCTTACCCACGCTCCTCTTTACTCTGGGCTTGAAATAAAGCGCGATGCAAGATTTCAGTTGCAGGTTACCAAACATGTCCTGCACATTAAACCCTTCCGTTCTCCGTAGCACCTGCTCTGCTCTCACCTACCACTTGCCATTCATTCACAGTAGAAGAAGAAGAGATTGGATTTATACCAGTGTTCCCTCTAAGCTGAGTTGGTGTGAGCTAGCTCACAGTTTTTCAGGCTCTGGCTCACACATTTTTGTCTCAGCTCAGGATGGATGGCTCCAGAGCTAATTAATGTATGCAGCAGCCAAATGCTTGCTCATAACTTTAATGCCAGTAACTCACAAAATAGAGATTTTGCTCACAAGACTCCACAGCTTAGAGGGAGCATTGATTTATACCCCGCCCTTCACTCCCCAAAGGAGTCTCAGAGCGGCTTACAAACCCCTTTCCCTTCCCCTCCCCACAACAGACATCCTGTGAGGTAGGTGGGGCTGAGAGAGCTCTTGACAGAAACTGCTCTTTTTCAAGGACAGCTCTTATCAGAACTATGGCTTGCCCAAGGTCATCCAGCAGGTGCAAGTGGAGGAGTGGGGAATCAAAGCTGGTTCTCCCAGATTAGAGTCTGTGCACTTAACCACTACACCAAACTGTGCCTGATGTTGCTACCTGTAACCCCGCCCATCTCCCATCATCACCCCTCGTGGATCCTTAAACCTCATCTAGGGCTCCACCTTTCAAACACCAGGCTTTGCAAATTGTACTCCACGCCCTTCCCAGTATATGGAATCCAAAGCATTGCACGTATGAGGCGCATGAGTGCCCATCCGTGTTGAGACCTCAATGCTCATGTCACGTGTGCCTCCCTTGTCTATTTAGCATTGTTCCTTTGGGTGCTGGAGGATGGAGGGAAGCATTTGTTACTCATATTCCTAATTCAGAGGTCCCCCAACCTTTTGGGCCCTGCAGGCTCCTATGGAACTCTGACATAGTATAGCGGGTTTAGCCACAAAATGGCTGCTCCAGCAGGCAGAGCCAGTCACAAAATGGCTGCTGCAGCTTACCCCCAAGTCACACAGGGAAGATCCTTGCTTGGTGGTGGCAGCTGCAGCCAAGCAATTTAAAAAAAAAAATCAGCACAGCCAATCGAATAACCAATGCCCAATCAAAAGCCTTTCTCAAAGCACTGGGCACCATGTTGGAGACCCCTGTCCTAATTCCAAGAAACAGAGATTCTCTGGTCCGCTGCTTTGCCTAACTCTTGTCTTACCTACTACTCTAGTGTTTATTCTTCCTGTAGTTCCGGAGGTACTGGTTATCGTGATGCATTTAAAACGTCACTCCTGCTCAGTTGCAAATTCTGTTCCGTGTTTCGCCCAGTTCGCCGAACTACCAATGAAAATTGAGAGAACAAGATTTCGTGAATCTCAAACGTTTCTGGATTCAGGCTGAAGGGCGCGGGGGGGGGGGGCTCTTCAACGTCTCTTGTGCCCATGAATGTACACAGCCAGTTGTTTCCTGGAGGAAGCCCCGCTTTTGCTGGTGGTGAAAGCACAACGGAGCCAGAGAGCAGCTGACGAAAACAGCCGTTTTGGGTCTCTTATTGCCAATTTTCATCATCCCCGTGCCTCTACAGACTGGCCCCTTGTGTCTTCTTTCCCCCACCCCTCAGCACTCAACTCAGTCCAACAACTTTGCGTTACAGGAAACATCTGCCGGGAGGGGAGGGCCCAGACTAGGTTACTTCAGGGCATTGGCCGACAGAGTCACACCGAAACTTCAAGCTTGTGCAAATCATTCCAGTATCTCCCCCCCCCCCCATGCACAAGAAAACTGAACCAAGAGCCAAGCTGCCCTTCGAGGAAGTGACAGACCCGACCGAAGAGAGGATGAGGCAGTCAGCGGACGGTCGTTCGGAAGCTGCGGCTCGAACCAGCCTGTTGACTTATTGCTGCTTTGGAGATGTCGAATGAGCCCGAGACTGGAGAATGTGGTTAGATCTCTGAGGTGCTTTTAGCTGATCGCCCCACTGGAGAGTCGGCTCTTACCGTTCTGTTCCAGCCTTGGAAATTTCGGACAATACCTAGGAGCTAATGCGTGATCTCCTTCGAGTCCCCGGAGGCTGTGCTTTTTTGGCACCATTGCTCTGCTGGGTGTGCGACAAAGTTGGGGTTCTCCGGATGAAGGGACCCCTTTAGAGCCATGCTGGAATAGGAGTCTAGATGGTACGTTGGCTGGCAGCCTCTCTCGAACAAGATCGTCTCTCCCGGACAGTCTCAGGAAGGAGATTTTATTTTGTTTTCCTCCCATTTCCAGACCAGAAAATTTTTTAACCCTGCATATTAGGGTGAGCTTGCGCCCTTGTTTAGCAAGCATCCGCTACAGGGAATAATTTTGGCGGCAGCTAAATGGAAGAATTTTTTAAAGTCCGCGTCCTGCTTGGAGACTGAGGAACGAGAGTGGCCAAAGGAAAGAGGGGGGCGTTGGTGTGACCTCATGGATTCCCTGGCAGAATGCGGAGTGCTTTGGCGTCTCCTCCTTGACCTCGAGGACAAGAAGCTGCTGTGGCGGCTGGAGCTGCTGTACGACCTCCCCGAAGGCTGTGGCGGCTCGAGATGGGAAGAGGTTCCAGCTGTGAGTGCCTCCCGGATGGAGCCATCCCCCCTCCGAAACAGATGTGCTGCCGACCTCCTTCTCACTTAGATTTGATGGGCAGGCAGAGGCTTCTGCCAAATTCTGCATTCCTTTGTGTTTGGGAGCCTCGGCTCTCCCAAGGAATTGGGAAAAGCCAGACATAGGGAAGTCTATGAATCTCGTAGCACCTTTCCTTCCGCTGTCCTCTTTCGCCCCCGTCCGGCACATTGGGACGGAGATGTAGTCATTCAGTCCTTTTGAGCTTTTGCAAAAATTCAGTCTTGGATTTGTCCGTCCAGCTTATCTAACCCTCTGTAGGCTTCCCAGCAGCCAAGTTAGCCGTTTCCCTACCCTTACAGCGATCTCTCGCCAAGTGTCCACTCCAGACCATTTTGTAGTAGCCAATATGTATTTCCACCATTGTTCCCTCTAAGCTGAGTTAGTGTGAGCTAGCTCACAGTTTTTTAGCCCCCAGGTCACACATTTTTGTCTTAGCTCAGGAAGGATGGCTCCAGAGCACACTAATTTCTGCAGTAGCCAAATTGCTCGCTCACAACTTTCATACCAGTAGCTCACGAAGTAGGATTTTTGCTCACAAAACTTCACAGTTTAGAGGGAACATTGATTTCCACTGCAGTTTCAAAGATCTATAGGTGTCGGAGTTGTTGATAGGGGTGACTTAAGAGAGAGAGAGGATGTGTTCAGGCTGTTAAGTACTCTGGTAGGAAGAGAGGCTGCGTGAGTATATTTTACCCAGCACCTGTGACTAGTGCTTCATGTTGGTTCTCACCTGCATATCCCAATTGGGGTGACTTCTGCCCTCATTGGCATGTTTGGACAGGTAATGCAATGTTCTGAGATCCTGAGCTGTGTGGTTGGCCCTTCTGGAGCATTATTATATAATGCTTTAGAGGAAAGGATCTACTTTCTGGGTCACCTTCTCTCGGGATGAAGAAGAAGAGATTGGATTTATACCCCGCCCTTCACTACCCAAAGGTGTCTCAGAGCGGCTGACAAACTCCTTTCCCTTCCCCTCCCCACCACAGACACCCTGTGAGGTAGGTGGGGCTGAGAGAGCTCTGACAGAAACTGCTCTTTTTCAAGAACAGCTGTGCCAAAACTATGGCTTACCCAAGGTCATCCAGCCAGGTGCAAGTGGAGGAGTGGGGAATCAACCCCGGTTCTCCCAGATTAGAGTCCGCACACTTAACCACTACACCAAACTGGCTGACGTTGAAAAGAGGAATACGGCTAACGTTGAAAAGAGGAATACGGCTGTAGGCCGGCTATCCGCATTGCAGGCTGTCGCTTTCCCGTCTTGCTCAGCTTTGTCTGAAGGAGGGAAGGTCTTCTTTTGACAAGTCGGTTCCTTGAGGAGCATAAGATGCTGTAGCCGTCTGAAATGCCCGCTGCTGAGAGATTTTTAAAAAGCAACAAAGCAAAACACCACAAGGGGTGCACCAATCATTTTTCTTTTTCAGCTCGTTGCTTTTAATGGCTGCTCCCCGGACCTGCTTCGAGTTAGGCAAAAGTTCTTTCAGCATCCTGTCTTTTCTCCTAGTTCATCTAGAACGGCCTTGGAACCCCAGTAGCCCTTAAAGATGTTTGATTGATTGATTGCTGCTAGAGAAGATCTTTGTGGCCCACCAAGAGATGCCATCTCTATTATGCCAACCTAAACTGTTACTAAGTTTAGGAAAGGCCCAGCGTGTGTATTCCTGTGCTCAGGCTGCCAAAGGGCCCATTACTAACACAAGCGTATCTTTCTAGAACATCCTTCGATCGAGAGGGTTAGTGGTAGCGGCTGCCGAGCATCCATTATTTTTGAAACTCTGTCTCATGCAGTTTCCTTGTTCTAGGACTTCATGCCCCCATCAAAGCCAACATTACCCTCATGGAGCTGTGATCAATGTCCCATCCTGTTGTCCAGGGCTGCCACCAGTAAGGTTTAGAGAGTGGAAGTAGTGGCGGCTACAAGCATGGACGGCTTCAAAAGGGAATTAGATAGGCATATGGAGCAGAGGTCCATCAGTGGCTATTAGCCACAAGGTATAGATAGGGGCTCTGGGGCAAGGGATGCTCTGTCTTCTTGGTGCTTGGGGGGGCAAACAGTGGGAGGGCTTCTAGTGTCCCGGCCCCACTGCTGGACCTCCTGATGGCACCTGGTATTTTTGGCCACTGTGTGACAGAGTGTTGGACTGGATGGGCCTTTGGCCTGATCCAACTTTGGCATCTCTTATGTTCTTATGTTCTCAGAAAACTGTTCACACAATGCAGGATTTTTTAAAAAGGAAAATCTGGAACAGCACCATTGCTTGTGCTTATAACTCACGCATGGAGCAAACACTACTATAGCACACCTGTGGACTCTCAGGGGAGGAGAAATGGGATTATTTCATGGACAATTATTTCATGGACAAGCATGGACGGCTTCAAAAGGGAATTAGATAAGCATATGGAGCAGAGGTCCATCAGTGGCTATTAGCCACAAGGTATAGATAGGGGCTCTGGGGCAAGTGATGCTCTGTCATCTTGGTGCTTGGGGGGGTCAACAGTGGGAGGGCTTCTAATGTCCTGGCCCCACTGGTGGACCTCCTGATGGCACCTGGTATTTCTGGCCACTGTGTGATACAGAGTGTTGGACTGGATGGGCCTTTGGCCTGACCCAACATTGGTGTCTCTTATGTTCTTATGAGTGATCCTTTCCTCAGCGTTCATCATCTCCAGGGAATGCCTGCCAGGGTCCTGCAGTGTGTCATTCCCCCCCCCCCGGGGGGGGTGGGACATTGTGATGGCTGCTGTACCTATTCAGCATTGGCCAGCATTGGATTTAGAATCCAACCAAAAGGGGAGGGGAACCGATCTGGCTTTCTGGGGACTTTAACTTTCTAAAGACAAAATGCAAGTTTCTAATCCTTGTGGAGATGGGAGTCTGGTGGGTCAGAAGCATAGATCAAAACTACCACCCCGTTGACGGTCTTCAGGACGGACAAAAGGTTTTAAAATGGGAGAAAAGGAAATACTACTTTGCACAGAGAGGGAGTAAAAGGTGGAATCCGCTGCCAGAGGATGTGGTGACGGCCACAGGAACAAACAGCTTTAAAAGGAGATTAGATCGCTTCATGGAGGATAAGTCTGTCAGTGGCTCCTAGCCATGGTGACTGAGGGGAACCTCCACATTCAGAGGCACTAAGCTTCTGAATCCCAGGGCCAGGAGGCAACATCAGAGGAAGGCCTTGGCCTCTGTGCCCTGTTGTTGGCTGTCTAGAGGAACTGGTTGGCCACTGTGTGGGATGGGACGCTTGACTAGATGGACCCACTGATCTGATCCAGTGGGGATCTTCTGATGTTCTTATGTCTTTTCTTTCCTGTGCTTTTAAATCTTTTACTCCCCGCCTGACCTTCTCCTTCCTCACTCTCTACCATCTTGGTTCTTGGCAAAGAATACTTCTGACTCTCCCCAAGCCAAGCGCCGCGGTTCAGATGAATGCGGGGAGGCCAGCATATGGGTGAGGGATGCTTGCAGGATGTGGTAAAGCTGTCTGGAATGTTTTTGATGCCAATGATACCCGGCCGTGTTTTAGAGAGCCGGGTTCTCTGGTGTGATCTGCAAGGACTGGGATGGCGGCACTGCTCACGCTTTCCTGACAAATCCGATTCTCTCATAGGCTGTAGCTCCCTCCCCAATACATACTAAAGTTAGCCTCCCTCTGCAGCTACCATCACCAGTCTTTGACAGTAATGGGATAACATCTCCTGCGTTTCCAGTGCTTAGTTGCAAAGACTCATAGAGCCCCCCCCCGGCTGTCTGTCCCCTCCCTCCCTCCTCACGAATTCTCCACTCTCCACAGGTGCTGAGTCCAACCTACAAGCAGCGGAATGAAGACTTCAGGAAACTCTTCAAACAGCTTCCCGACACAGAGCGCCTCATAGTCGGTAAGGCTTCCTTCTCCCCTGGGTCGTTAAGGCCGGCCTCTCCAAGGTTGGCGACAGAACTCGTTGGGAGATACGTGTTGCCGAGAGAGGCCCGTCTGCTGTACGCAAAAGTCGCTTTTTGGGCCGTCACTGTTAACTTTTCTCCCCGATAACCTGCCCTGGTGAAGTATGTATCTGGTATCCATGCGGCACTGGTTGCAGGTGTCGTTATTGTTTATTAGTCACCCTGTCCCAGCTCACGCCGGGCTCTGGGCGATGTACAAGGCATGATGCCATAAAATATACAAAAACTTTAAAATGCAATGTATAGCTTAATAAAAATTACAATACAGAATAAAAGATCCAAGATGGCGATTTCCCTATAATAGCAAAGAACAACAGAAAACAACTGTGAGCTGAATCACCCGCAAAAATAGATATCCAAAAGGAGACTTCACCAAAGTGAAATGCACATGTAATCAAGGATGAATACATATAATGCATCATAGGGAAATACAGAAGTCCACAGGATCCATGAAAGGAAAATACAAAGTCCAGAGTAGATAATCCAACACTTTTCCTAGGTAGCATTCAGTGTTTCAGACTTTCTGGTCCTTCCTCATGAACAAAGAACAACTATAGGAAGTCTCGTTCCATTTCCTATAATCGTTCTTTGTTCATGAGATAGGACCAGAAGTCTTTGGAATTAAAATCTGATGCTTCGGTGCCGTTCCTCTGGACACGTGTGAACCATCCAGTAAATGTGTTTCCTTTGTGCTGATGGCGGGAACTGTCCTAATGCAGGAGTGTATAGTCATAGTTGTACATTTTCAGTACACAGAAAATGGTGTGTGTATATTAAGTGCCAACAAAGGGCTGCCAACTTATGGCGATCCTATGAATTAACAACCTCCGAAGCGTCCTATTGTTAAGAGCCTTGCTCAGGTCTTGCAAAGGGAGGGCCCTCGTGGTGTCCTCGATGGAGTCCGTCCATCTTCTGCTGCAGGGGTCATTTCGTAGAAAAAGAGGTGCAGGAGTTCATTAGCAAAACTCATTAGCATAACTTATTTGCATATGCCACACCCCCTGACATCACTGGAAGTGTGTCAGAAGGCACCACTGGACTGTTTTTGATTGCTAGCTATTGTGGGGGGGGGAACATACTGATTGTCCTCGCAGAGGAGGGAGAGCTTGTACCTGAATAAAACTTGGTCTTAAAGGTGCCACTGGACTGTTTTGGACCAGGGGGGCTCTGCAGCTTACCTGGCTGCTTCTTGCTCTGACTGAGGGTTGCTGGGAGCAGGGGGTGGGGCTTGTTGCATGTGCCCACCCCCTGGGCTCTTTACTGCCGGTGCTCCGCTCCTGTGCGCTCCTGCAGGAAATGACCCCTGTCCTGCTGGGTCTTCCTCTTTTCCTGCTGCCAGCAACTTTCCCCACCATGATTGTCTTTCCCAGTGCCTCTTGTCTTCTCATAATGTGTGACCAATGTACGATAGCCTCAGTTGAGTCATTTCAGCTTCGAGGGAGAGGTCAGGCCCACATCTTTGTCTTTTTGGCTGTTCGCAGTATCTGTAAAACTCTCTTCCAGCACCACATTTCAAAGGAATCAACTTTCTTCCTTTCTGCTTTCTTCATTACCCAACTTTCACACCCATAATGTTAGTCCGTATACGAAAAATATGGCACTAATCTCAGAATTCAGTTCAGAAGGAGTGATCCCTAGCAATAAGGATGAAACTTTTAGAAAGTTGTTTTTATTTCTGGAACCCGTATGTTGCTATTTCCCCCCTTTTTTGTGTTTTTAGGGGAGAACGGCCTTCCTTTTTTTCTCAATTCACCCTGTTTTGTTTAATTGGGCCTTTTATTTTGCACTGATTTTTTTTTCCTCCCAAGAGGTGTCAAAATAAATTATTGGAAATATTCTCCTCCATCCCAAAAAGAGGATACAGAAGATGTGATCAAGTTTGTAAGACTGCATAAAATGAACGAGGGTGTTGACTCATTAATTAAAGACCGTTCTTGAGACATCATGATTTTCATTATCAACGACACACATTATCAAGAATGTCAGACCTCGGAAGGAAAAGAGATTGACAGGGGGGAAATGGTTGGGTACAGAAATGATTTTGATAAACAGAACGGACTTGAAAGGATTGGAATTGGAAACTAAATTAAATGGATTTACTGGGGGGAATATAAAACATTCCAGAGAGACCATGAACAATTAAAACAAGAGAGTGCATCCTTTGTGGAAAATGGAGCAATTAACCATTGATCACAATGAGGCAAAGTGCAAAGTGGGTCGTTATTATTATTTTTAAATAAAGAATGATATACTGTTATAAGGATTATCTTGCGACTTCTTTTCATCAGCCTGACTTGCCTGTAGATGCCCTTCCTTCCTTCCTTCCTTCCTTCCTTCCTTCCTTCCTTCCTTCCTCCCTCCCTCCCTCCCTCCCTCCCTCCCTCTTACCAGTCATTTGTTTACCCAGGGCTTTTTTTGTAGAAAAAGCCCAGCAGGAACTCATTAGCATAATAGGCCACACACAACAGCAGATACTCATTAGCATATTAGGCCGCACCCCCATGTTACCAGAAGTGTGGTCATCCAGCCACACCCACCTTTTGCTTCTTATTCTGTTTACTTTGTTGTCAAAACCCAAGGCCTTTTTTTGTAGCAGGAACTCCTTTGCATGTTAGGCCACACACCCCTAATGTAGCCAATCCTAATGAGTTCCTGCTGTTGGGTGTGGCCTATTATGCTAATGAGTTCCTGCTGGGTGTGGCCAACTCAGGAGCCAGCCGGAACTCCGTTCCTGTGCGTTCCTGCCCCAAAATAGCCCTGTGTTTACCGAATATTTTAAAAATGTCCACAGAGCTCTGCTTCCTTTTAGTCTGTGTGCAATCTTTGGTTATTTTCCGGTCCCTAATATATATCACCGGTATTGTTTTTGGTCCCTTCCTCTTGCTCCTCTGCAGATTACTCCTGTGCACTTCAAAGAGACATTCTCCTGCAGGGACGCCTCTACCTCTCTGAGAACTGGATCTGCTTCTACAGCAATATTTTCCGCTGGGAAACCTTGGTGAGTGCCATTAGCCTGCTCAGCCCCGCTCAACCCCATGCAGTAGGACCAGTTTCAGGACCTTTCTAGAAATGCTTTGGTAATCTTCTTTGGTAACCTTTCTTCGTCACCCCCCCCCCCAAAAAAAAATGTTTTTGGCTTGCCTCTGTTCTTAGTTGACCGTTCGTTTGAAGGACATCTGCTCCATGACCAAGGAAAAAACTGCACGGCTCATTCCTAACGCTATCCAAGTTTGCACTGACACTGAAAAGGTACGTGCTGGAATTCCTCCGCTCCCAACCTGTGTGTGAGAGACGAGAATCGAGAGCATTGAGTCAAGGCGTATCAGGCCTGTAGCCAGGAATTTTTTAGGGAGGGGGAATGAAATTAAAACTAAAGTAATTGTAAAATAATTTTCAAATTAAGTTAAAGTAATTTAAACGTAATTACATTACCGGGGGATGCAGGCAGGGGCGGAATGACGCCAGCAGTGAACTTCTCCCTAGGCACATAGAGCTGAGCCCAGGAATTGGCGGGTACTAGATGTAAGAGTTCTTTTGGCTTCATGCAACACAAAGAAAACATACCCCCCCCAAAAGGTATTCACTTTGTCTGTGAGAGACAAGCAGGGGTCATTTCCTACAGGAGCGCACAGGTGCGGAGCTCCAGCAGTAAAGAGCCCAGGGGGCGGGCACATGCCACAAGCCCCAACCCCTGCTCCCAGCAGCCCTCAGTCAGAGCAAGAAGCAGCCAGGTAAGTTGCAGAGCTCCCCCCGGCCCAAAACAGTCCAGTGGCACCTTTAAGACCAAGTTTTATTCAGGTACAAGCTCTCCCTCCTCTGCAAGGACAGATCTGCACATCTCCCCCCCGTACAAGCTCTCCCTCCTCTGCGAGGACAGATCTGCACATCTCTCCCCCCCCCCATAGCTAGTAATCCAAAACAGTCCAGTGGCACCTTTAAAACCAAGTTTTATTCAGGTACAAGCTCTCCCTCCTCTGCGAGGACAGATCTGCACGTTCCCCCCCCCCAATAGCTAGCAATCCAAAACAGTCCAGTGGAGCCTGAGCGGTGGGTGTTGCCTTTTGACACACTTCCGGTGATGCCAGGGGGTGTGGCATATGCAAATGAGTTATGTTGATGAGATCCTGCACCTCTTTTTCTACTAAATTACCCCTGGAGACAAGAATCAAGAACATGAAGTCAAGGTGTATAGAGCTGAGCCCAGGAATTGTCGGGTACCAAGTAGTGTCTTTTTGGCTTCATGCAACACATAGAAACAGGAAATAGCGGAGGGAGGAAAGTATTCACTTTGCAAAGCGGGTCAAAGCTCAATCAGTACTCAGCCTGAGGATGAGGAGTGGGGTTCTTTTGTGGTGTAGGGTTGCAGTTTTTGTGGAGCTGGTGAGCGCCTGAGTGAGGTTTCGCTCCCCGTGGTGCGCATGCACACACTTTGTTGCACTCTTGATTTTGCCGTAGCAGGCTTTGCGTGTTTGGGGGGGGGCATGACATGGAGCGGAGTGTACTGGAGAGACAACTGGGCTGTAGAGTGCAAACTTCAAGCAGCAGATCCCTCTCTCAGACCGCCTTTAACGATATGAAGACGCTCAGCACCTCTCTCCGTGAAGCCTGCAGGGTTTGGGCCTTCACGGTCTTAATGCTTCATCGAAACTTAAAGTTGAATGTTTAGTCTGGCGAAGAGGAGGTTGAGGGGGGAAATGGTCAATGCTCCCTCTAAGCTGTGGAGTTGTGTGAGCAAAAATTCTACTTTGTGAGCTTCTGGCATTCAAGTTGTGAGTGAGGGATTTGGCTGCTGCCTAAATTAGTTTGCTCTGGAGCCATCCTTCCTGAGCAACGACAAAAAGGCGTGAGCCGGAAGCTAAAAACCTGTGAGCTAGCTCACACTAACTCGGCTTAGAGGGAACACGGGTCATGATTGCTCTCTGGAAGTATTTGAAGGGCTGTCACTTAGAGGAGGGCAGGGAGCTGTTCCTGTTGGTAGCAGAGGAGAGGACTTGCAATAATGGGTGGGAAGGTACCAGCTGGATTTAAGAACATAAGAACATAAGAGATGCCAATGTTGGATCAGGCCAAAAGCCCATCCAGTCCAACACTCTGTATCACACAGTGGCCAGAAATACCAGTGCCATCAGGAGGTCCACCAGTGGGGCCAGGACATTAGAAGCCCTCCCACTGTTGACCCCCCCAAGAACCAAGATGACAGAGCATCACTTGCCCCGGAGTCCCTATCTATACCTTGTGGCTAATAGCCACTGATGGGCCTCTGCTCCATATGCTTATCTAATTCCCTCTTGAAGCCGTCCATGCTTGTAGCCGCCACCACTTCCTGTGGCAGTGAATTCCAAGTGTCAATCACTCTTTGGGTGACGAAGTACTTCCTTTTATCCGTTCTAACCCGACCGCTCAGCAATTTCATGGCGTGCCCACGAGTTCTTGTATTGTGAGAAACGGAGAAAAGTACCTCTTTCTCTACCTGCTCTTTCCCATGCATAATCTTATATGACAGAGTTGTGTGACAGTGGAATCAGCTGCCTAGGGAGGTGGTGAGCTCCCCTTCACCAGCAGTCTATAAGCAGCGTCTGGACAAACACTTGTTGGGGATGGTCTAGGCTGATCCTGCATTGAGCAGGGGGTTGGACTGGCTGGTCTCTATGGCCCCTTTCAACTCTGTGATTTTATGATTCTGCCTGCTAATGTTACAAAGTCTTCATGTCTGGGCCAGTCCTTTGGCCAGATGTGCTCTGAGAGTTCTGAATGTAATTCGCAGATGGGTGCGGGATTGATCTGGGTGCGGGATTGATCTGGTGGCAGTGGGATCAAGCCTTTCTGTGGTTCGCCGGGTGTGTTGCTGATAAAATTAGGAAGACCTCATCTTCTTTGCCAACATGCTCTTAGGCAGCCTTTTAATAAGCAATCTCTCTGCCCTCCACAGCACTTTTTTACTTCCTTCGGCGCCCGAGACAGGACGTACATGATGATGTTCAGGCTCTGGCAGAATGCCCTCCTGGAGAAGGTATTTTATTTGTCCGTTTGCTTTCTTTATTCCGAACACTTATTCCTCGCCTCACAATATGACGTTATCTCCAAGGCAGCTTGCGGAAGAAAAGTATCATGTCAAACAGCTACAGTAGAAACAGCCACATGAAAAACATAAGTTCATTAAAAAGTAGCAGATAGGGAAAGTCTAGAATAAACAGGACCGAAAGCAGGGGTGTCAAACATGCGGCCCGAGGGCTGGATCAGGCCCGCAGTGGAACTGGCTGTCTTCTGCTGCTTCTTCCAGTGCTGCTGCGTCGTCGTCGTTGTCGTAGGTTTGCAGCTTACAGATACACACCTGAACAGCGTACTCAAGATTGCAACAGCACAGGCATTTTGACGCAGTAATTCAGAGCAAGAGGTGTCAGTTATCACACACTGTTAAATAAACAAAATATTGCAGGAGTGCTAATGTTTTAAGCATCTTTTTATTTTAAGTTTTAAAAAAAACCCTTCGCGTTTGTGTCCTTCATAAAGTTTCTGTCTCTGCTACCTGGCATTACCTTTTATGACGCACATGGCCCGGCCCAACAAGGTCTCATTTATGTGAGATCCATCATAACGAGTTCGGCACCCCTGACCTAAAGCATGGCTGTTGGATAAAGGATTGAAATTGTCATCCTAAACAGACCAAGCCCATTGACTTCAAGTTGAAATGAAAATGTGAAAATGTGCATGCCAGTGTGAGGCAAAAGACAAACCCTTTTGACATTGGCCCTGTGCAAACTTATTTATTTAACTCATTTGCACCTAGGGTTGCCAAGTCCATCTTCCACCCCCAGCGGGGGACTTTGGGGGCGTTCCTGGAGGGGGTGGGGCATCCCCAACGTGATGACGTCACATTGGGGACGTCTGCCGCCCCACCCACCCGCCCATGCGCCGGATCTCCAGAAACGGCAGTTCCCTGCACTTAAAGTAGCCGGCAGCCGGCGTTTCCCCTTTAAGAGCAGCTGTGTTTCCCTTTTAAGAATGAAGTTGGCGTTTCCCTGCAAGCTTGCGGAGTACGGGCTTGGGAGAAAACATGGGTTGCACACACTTAAAGGGAGAGAGATGGGTGGCTGTGGGTGTTGGGCTTCCCCCGCCGGCCATCTGGCTGGCGGCGGGTAGAACCTCCCCCAAAATGGGGGACCCCTGGCAAAACGGGGGGTTTGGCAACCCTATTTGCACCCCACCTTTCTCTCTCCCCGCCATAGTGGCTCACATCGCTCTCTTCTCCTCCATTCTGTCCTCACAACAACCCTGTGAGGTAGACGCAGGTGGGCAGCCATGTTGGTCTGAAGCAACACAACAAACTTTGAGTCCAGTGGCACCTTTAAGACCAACAAAGTTTTATTCTGGGTTTTTCTGCCCTGGCCCCTGCCTGGTGGAACATGCTCCCAGTCGAGATTAGGGCCCTTGTGGGATCTTCTTCAATTCCTCAGGGCCTGTAAGACGGAGGTGTTCCGGCAGGCCTTTGGTCGAGGCAGCGGACGTCTCTGTGTAACCTCCCTGAGGTCAGGGCTATTTTTGGGCAGGAGCGCACAGGAACGGAGTTCCGGCTGGCTCCCAAGTTGGCCACGCCCAGCAGGAACTCATTAGCATAATAGGCCACACCCAACAGCAGAAACTCGTTAGGATTGGCTACATTAGGGGTGTGTGGCCTAACATGCAAAGGAGTTCCTGCTACAAAAAAAGGCCCTGGGTTTTGACCACAAACAAGGTAAACAGAATAACAAGCAAAAGGTGGGTGTGGCTGGATGACCACACTTCTGGTAACATGGGGGTGCGGCCTAATGTGCTAATGAGCTGTGCTGTCAGGGGCGTGGCCCAATATGCTAATGAGATCCTGCTGTTGGTGTGGCCTATTATGCGAATGAGTTCCTGCTGGGCTTTTTCTACAAAAAGAGCCCTGCCTGAGGTGGTTGTCACCTATCCATCTGTTAACCCAAATAATATGCTAAAGAACTGTACAGTCAGCGACAGTCAGAAGTGTGATTGAGTTTGAATGTTTATTATTGTTTCAGTTTTCTAACTTGTTTAATTTTAATCGTATTTATTGTACTGTTTTTGTAATGTTACCTGCCCTGAGCCCGCTTGCGGGATGGGCGGGCTATAAATACAATAATAAATAAAATAATAATAATAATAAATATAAGCTTTCGTGTGCATGCATACTTCTTCAGCTACACATGAAAGCTCATACCTAGAATTAAACTTTGTTGGTCTTTTTTTTTTAAGATATATTTTTTTAAATTTTATATAGGGTACAGGGGAAAAAGGTGTGTGGGGGGGAAGAAAAATAAACATAAGGCACTTTTTAACTGATATTCAAGACAATATAAGCGTCAATGATTTAATAAATCTATGTAAATTATTATAACATTACCAATAATGCCGTTTCCTTAAAGTACATTATCCGCTATTCTCAATCTGAAGGCGTGGGAAAACCCTATGAAAAAATTGTGTAAACAAACATTTTACATAAATTTAAAATTGCTGGAAAGCCATTTAAAACGATTTATAACAACAAGGAAGTGACAACATTTTAAAAATTCCAAATAACTGATAAAAATCATACAACTATGAGGAACTGGTAATCACTGATTAACTGAATAATCAGAACATAATACTGTGTCGCTCTTACAGCTCTGTCTATAATCGGGATAAAAAGCTTTGTTGGTCTTAAAGGTGCCGCTGGACTCAAACTTTGTCCTGTGAGGCAGGTTAGGCCGAGAGAGTGTGACTGGACCAAGGTCACCCTGCAAGCTTCCATAACACAAGTGAGGGCTTGGACCCAGTCTCCCAGGTCATAGTCTGATACTCTTAACCACTAGACCACACTGGCTGCCTTACCTGGTGGGAGACCAATGGCCACAGCAGAGTCTGCCCCGCCCCCATTGCAGCACCCATGTCTTACGCACAGGGGGTTCCTGGGAAATGTAGTTCTCTTGAACCCAGTGGACTTGTTATTTGCAAGCTTCTATGCAAGCACTGGTTAAAATCTGGAGGATTTATTTATGTAGCAAGAAGAGCTCACAAGAAGTGAATTAAAACCAGGGTGAGCTGGTAGCCGTTTGCTTATCCACGGTGTTAACACAGACTTCTTTTAGGAGACCCAGTTTTCGTAAGCTCTGGCAGTGCCCCAGCGATTTCTCTGTTAATGTTAACAAAAATTATGTCAATGATAATAGAAACAGATATTCGATTCTTGGGGGGTTTTGTTGCCCATACCAAGGGGTGTCGTTACAAATCAAAGTGCTGTTGCTAAGGGTTTTTTTGTTTAGTAAACAAAAAAACACTAGGGAAAAAGAGGCAGTTTTTACTAGATGAATTTTTAGGTGACTTTGGGGGCAACCTTCTATTTCAGAAAGCTAATGCCTGATATAAAATTAAGAAGTTATCCAAAGAATGAATTGTTTGTGCAAGAAGAGGTTTCCTTTTAATTTTATACTAGAATTCCAGATAACGATATTCATGACATAGAGTCTAATTTAATTCAATATTTCTTCTTCGTGCCATAAATCTTTTTTTTTTTTAATGTATTTGTCCATTTCCCCTCTTTAAGGCAAGCAGACTTATGCTGTCCTTGGGAACTGAAATTGCACGTTCCTTTGCTAAAGTTTATGGTTTTTGTTGGGTCATGTGACTATCTCATGCGGGAGTGTGGACATCTGGATGGTTATTCAGCTTGGCTTTCAAGAATGCCTTTTCTGTCTCCCCTCTTTAGGGCTAGCAGCATAGTTGACCTTTGAAATGAAATGAAAGCTTTGTGTTCCATCAAAAGCCTCAAGGGCATATATAGGCTGTAGCTCAGTTCACATTACTCTTTTTCGGTGAAGAGTCACGGGTAGCTTTCCATTATCAACCTAGGGATTCTCTCACAAGATTCTTCTCCACAACTTCCAAATGTGTGTAGTCGCAGCGGAATTAGATGCTTGCGTGACAATGCATGCAGTTTTGGGGCCATTCCTTTTATAGAAATAAATTATAAATTAATTCATAATTAATATGAATAAGTAAGTAACATAAACAAATACACAAATCGCATAGCAGTCAGCTGAGAGACTAAGGCTAAGCAAATGATACCTTTTTTGGTACCCACATTTACATATTTTGCAAATGGTTTTTTTGAGTCTCTGCTTTTTGCTGTTGGATTTGTAGCGTTGCTGGAATTGTGTGAGCTCATTCTACAGTTCTCATACACAGAAGTGCCATAATAATATCCCAACATGGGACTGTATATATTATATAATTCTATCCCTATCATGGGATAGGGTGGGATATAAGTACAATAATTACAACAATAACATACATTATTTCTACCTATAATGTAGAAAGCCAATATATAGACACACAGATAACATTGAAAGTTGCGTACATTTTGCAGCAAATATTTGCTGGGAGGAGACGGCGTGATTTCCAGTTCAGAGCAGTTGGGAATGAGAAACCTGAAATCTTCCCCAGAGAGCCAGTTTGGTGTAGTGGTTAAGTGCGCGGACTCTAATCTGGGAGAACCGGGTTGGATTCCCCACTTCTCCACTTGCACCTGCTGATGTGACCTTGGGTCAGTCACAAGCTCTGGCACAGCTGTTTCTGAAAGAGCAGTTTGTGTCAGAGCTCTCTCAGCCCCACCTACCTCACAGGGTGTCTGTTGTGGAGAGGGGAAGGGAAAGGAGTTTGTAAGCCGCTCTGAGACTCCAAGTGAAGGGCGGGGTATAAATCCAATCTCCTCCTCCTCCTCTTCTTCTTCTTCTTCTTCTTCTCCTTCTACAGACCTCAGTTATTGAGCTGTCAGTAGCGAAGCATTACACAACATTAGGGCCATGATCCTCCATACGATGCTGATGAGTTTTCAGTGGGCGCCAATTCTCGCTGTCTTTCTCTTCCTCTCCCCCAGCCCTTGTGTCCGAAGGAGCTCTGGCATTTTGTACATCAGTGTTACGGTACTGAACTAGGGCTGACAAGTGACGACGAAGACTATGTGCCTCCTGATGATGATTTCAACACCATGGGGTAAGCTGAGTTGCCCAAAAGTGATATGAGAAAGACGCCTGAATGAGTGCGAGTCAGATGCCTCCTTTGCCTTGGGCACTCCAACAGGAATTGCAAGTACAGGTCGGAACTTTAGGTTAAGCCAGTATCTCTGGCTTTTACAGTGGAACCCAGGATCATTTTTCCTTGGCATTTATATTTATTCCATACTAGAAAAAAGGCCCGTTGTGGAAATAAATATAGCGGCCTCTAGAAAGAGGCTCTGGGCGGGTGTCCCGGCCTTGGACACTCAGTGTCAATTTGCTGTGGCGACCTCAGCAGGGTATAATGACACTGAGTCCACCATTTTCTCCAGAGGAACTGATCTCTGCTACCTAAAGAACAGTTGTAATTCTGAGTGATCTCCAGCCCTCACCTGGAGATTGGACACATTTTACCTCAGAACAGCAAAACTGTTTAGAATGTTAGAGGCAAAAGCCAGTCAAGTCGCATATGCAAAGGACCTCTGTGTTCCGAGGCAGAGGCCAATGAGGCTGCATATGCAAATAACCTCTGTGTTCTGACTGGCTATGGCGGGGGGAGGCGCAGCAAACTGTTTAGAATGTTGGAGGCAGGACTCAGGCAAAGCAGCCAGTGGATAGGGAGACCCTCTGAATGACAGATCAGAGAGCGAACTGATTTTGGAGCGTGTGGAATGTTCTAGAGAAGTACCACCACCATTTGGCTTTTATTTATAAGGGAGATGTGTCCTACCTGCCTTCCATCAAACAGGAGGTCTCCTAGCTGGGTACTGACTAGATTTGCAGCTGCATAGCTTTGGCAAGGTTGCCGCGTCATGCTCCTTCAGGTCATCACTTGAGCCCTTATGATAGCATGGCAGTCATTATTACTCACATGGCAAAAGGCAGCGTATAGAAAGTATTCTGGCAGTCCATGCCGCAAACAGAGCCTTGACCAAACATATAAAAGCAACCTTAAAGAATGTAAACAGAATCTGTTTGTTTGCAAAGATATTTATAGCGATATAAGACAAACTATCATGCAAAGTACAAAGTACATGATTACATTAAACGACATACAAGTACATGTGGGACATAAACCCTGCTGAAATACAATCTTAAAGGGACCGAGCCTATAAACCATCCTTTTGAGCTGTAAGAACGGAACGGGACATTCTCTGTAACAGCTGAAGATAAGCCTCTTGGAGCATGAAGATGTCAAGGTTTGTAATACACGACAGGCCTGTTTCACATTGATAATGTTCATCAAGCTGTTAGTCTTCCTAAGGCTGGTGGGACTTCCACTGGTTTCCAGGAATTCTCAAGTGCATGGCGGCCAGCGTCCCTAACGACAAGCTTGGATAGCCTCTATAGACTGAGCCTCAGAAAAACAGAAGTTGACCTGTCGGTTCTTTCTAAACTGCAGAAGAAACTCTTGAGTTCAAATCACCTTCTGCACAGGGTGGGCTGTGGAGGCTGTGTAGGTGTGCGCCAGAAATGCAAGGGCTACACCCAGGGCTATTTTTGGGCAGGAACGCACAGGAACGGAGTTCCGGCTGGCTCCTGAGTTGGCCATGCCCAGCAGGAACTCATTAGCATAATAGGCCACACCTAACAGCAGAAACTCATTAGGATTGGCTACATTAGGGGTGTGTGGCCTAACATGCAAAGGAGTTCCTGCTCCAAAAAAAGCCCTGGGTTTTGACAACAAAGTAAACAGAATAAGAAGCAAAAGATAGGTGTGGCTGGATGACCACACGTTTGGCAACATGGGGGTGTGGCCTAATATGCTAATGAGTTTCTGCTGTTGGGTGTGGCCTGTTATGCTAATGAGTTCCAGCTGGGCTTTTTCTACAAAAAAAGCCCTGGCTACACCACCCCATTTGCAAAGATGAGAAACTGCAACTAAGCAATAGTAGTCTCTTCCAGAGGCAACTCCGCTTCGGCATGGTCATGCATTGTACAGTCGCCCTGTCGACCGGGAACCAGTTTTTGATAGGACCAAGCCGTCCTCCCATAATATTGGGGCTGTTGGATGGTTCTGATTTCCTGCCCCCGTGAGTACGTTAAGTGCCTTCAGGTCACTTCTGACTCATGGCGACCCTATGAATGAGTGAGCTCCAAAACGTCCTCTCGTTAACAGCCTTGCTCAGATCTTGCAGACGGAGGGTTGTCTCTTCCTTGATTTGAGTCCATCCATCTCCTGCTGGGTCTTCCTCTTCTTCTGCTGCCTTCAACTTTTCCTAGCATGATTTTCTCTCCCGGTGAATCTCATCTCCTCATCCCCTGTACCTTTTGCAAAACTGCTATGACCACGTGCACGTCTCCTACAGTTGGGAGGGATCTCCCAAAGAGGGGCATGCTGCACCTTCAAGATCTCCATGCTCGATTGGCCCCCATATGAAATGTTCAGAGGGAGAAAGGATTTGGGGCTCACCGTGCTGACCAAAATCAGCCATGGGTTGGCCAAGCTTGCCTGAAGCTGAGATTGTGCTCATTATTATGTATGCGCTTACTGACCACTCTTTAAAGTTGCTAGATGCCATCTGGGTAGTAGGCGAGGAATACGAAAGAATGACCCAAACGCTGAGGTTGCCATCCTAGTATCTGCTCGGTCCCAGGATGGATTATTCTTGCACCAAATGCTTTGTTCTCCAGTGCGCCGGTTCTTGCTGGTAGGAGGTGCTCAACGTCTCACGGATTCTGTTTGCTCTTTTTAGCTACTGCGAAGAGATCCCAGTGGAGGAGAACGAGGTGAACGACAGCTCCTCGAAAAGTAGCATGGAAGCCAAACCGGAGGCCAGTCCCCAGCTCCCCAAAAAGTCTGTCACCAATAGCAGCACGTTGACGCCGACGGGAAGTACTGAAGCTCCGGTCCCAGTAGGTGTTCCCCTCATCTGATTGCTGTTAGCATGAAAATCATAGAGTTTGGTGTGGTGGTTAAGTGTGTGTGTGGACTCTAATCTGGGAGAACCGGGTTTGAGTCCCCACTCCTCCACTTGCACCTGCTGGATGACCTTGGGCAAGCCGTAGTTCTGATAAGAGCTGTTCTTGAAAAAGAGCAGTTTCTGTCAGAGCTCTCTCAACCCCACCTACTTCACAGGGTGTCTGTTGTGGGGAGGGGGGGGGAGGAGTTTGTAAACCGCTCTGAGACTCCCGTGGGTAGTGAAGAGCAGGGTATAAATCCAATTTCTTCTTCTTCAAGAGCAGTTTTTGTCAAAAGCTCTCTCAGCCCCACCCACCTCACAGGGTGTCTGTTGTGGGGAGGGGAAGGGAAAGGTGTTTGTAAGCCGCTCTGAGACTCCCGTGGGTAGTGAAGGGTGGGGTATAAATCCAATCTCTGCTTCTTCTATCATCTGTTCTGGGTCGGGTTGCACTCCCCTTGAAGAAACAGGCCCATAGCCTCGTGATGCTCTTGGACACGGGCCTACTGCTGGATCAACAGGTGGAAGCTGTGGCCAGGAGTGCCTTTGATCAGCTTTGACTGGTTAGCCAGCTACGGCCTGAGCAAGAAAGATCCGGCCACTGTGGTGCAGGCCCTGATCTCCAGACCCCTCACCATCTTCGTTGCCCTCCTCTGGGCACATTCCAGCTTGTCTCTATATCCTTCTTAAACTGTGGTGCCCAAAACTGAACAAAAGACTCTAGCTGAGGTCTAACCAGAGCAGAGCAAAGCGATACCATCCCTTCACTTCAGGCATGTAGACAGAAAATAACTCTAGGTTTTATGGAGTATGCACATTGTGCCCATTTTGTAGGCTGCAGTGAGAGAAATCCCAGCACTTTGAGGTATTTGGGAATCGCAACGGGGGGTGGGCAGGCGGTGACATCTCCCTTGGTAGTGGTAATGTGACGACCTTTGTTGACCCTCTTCTAGTATGAAGGGATAGTTCCTGAGGAACAGGAGGTTGTGGACATCCCTTTAGAGAAGGAGCTGACGATCGCAAACATCATTGGAGACAAGATAGAGATCATAGCGCCCGTGAATTCCCCTTCCCTGGATTTCAACGACAATGAGGACATTCCAACTGAACTCAGCGACTCCTCGGAGACGCACGATGAAGGTACGCCCAGTGGTAGCATGGTGGAGTTGCGTGCTCTTGTAGTGTTTGCGTTAACCTTGTATACCATGATAGTCAAAGGTAAAGGTTCCCTTGCTCGAAAGCCAGTCCAATCTGACTCTAGGGTTGCGGTGCTCATCTCCGTTTCAAAGCTGAAGAGCCAGCGCTGTCCGAAGACGTTTCCATGGTCATGTGGCCGGCATGACTAAACACCAAGGCGCACGAAACGCTGTTACCTTCCCACTGAAGTGGTACCTATTTATCTACTTGCAGTTTCTTGCTTTCGAACTGCTAGGTTGGCAGGAGCTGGAACCAGAGACGGGAGCTCACTCCATCATGCGGCACCCGGGTCTCGAACTGCTGAACTACTGACCTTCCACAGCCTGCAGTTCAGCGTCTTAACCACTTGAGCCACCGCAGCTCCTAGTCAAAGAGTAAAGGACCAGAATTCCAGATTCCAATGGTCATGGATTACTACCTCTTGAACCTTCAGGGCTGTCTTGTGTTTGGTGCCACCTCTGTTCATTGTTCTTTCCATTTTGAGACTCACTACTGTGTACTGCTAATTTCCAGCTAAATTGTGTTAATAATCTAGAGCATCATTAGATTAATGGGTATAGTATCCAGGCACCATCTACCCAGAACATCTTCTGGGTATGTGCCACATTCATGTCTTGTACAGGAGGTCTTTCCAGAAGATAAAGTCCGATATTAACTATTATTCATGTGACTTTTCTGACTAGCTAAGATGCTTACAAGGTGGTAACATTTAAAACCATCAGTTTGACTGAATCAGGCCCAATTATTTCTTTTTTAATTTTAACCTTTTGCAGTCCCAGATTCAGTGATCGCCTGTGTGTGGAAAAATGACTTTGGGACATGTTTGATCAAGCAGTTATTTTGAGGATGAATCTGTGAGCTGGATTGGTTTCGTGTTGGGTCTTGCTTACAAATTTGTTTCTGGAAGAGTTTGTGGAATAACCAAGTCAGTGTAACTTTTCCATATATCAAGATCGTCTGAGCCCCAATCATTACATCATCTGTTTTTTTTTAAAAAAAAACAACCCTGCAGTGTAACCTCTGCTTCCTCCTGCAGGGGAAGTTCAGGCCTTTTATGATGACCTGAATGGTCGGCAGTACATGAACGAAGTGTTCAACTTTAGTGTGGACAAGCTGTATGACCTCCTCTTCACGGACTCTCAGTTCCTGAGGGACTTTATGGAGCAGCGGAGATTCTCCGGTGAGTTTGGTGCTCTCATGCGCCTGCATATCCTCATGTCCCAGCTGGCATCAGTTCAGCCAGAACTTTGTTTTGGTTGCTTTTGTCTAAGAGATATACATACATACATTCAGCCTTTTGATCAATATGGAATTGGATCCACAGGTCTAATTAAGGGCACGTGCATACTACAAATATGAACAAGTCTGATGATATTTGTTGAGCTATCGTAGCACGCGACCTTAGAAAGGGGCTGTGGCTCAGTGTCAGAGCCTCTGCTTGGCATGTAGATGGTCCCAGGTTCAATCCCCAGCATCTCCAGTTAAAGGATCTTGCAGTAAATGACGCCAAAGACCTCTGCCTGAGCCACTGCCGGTCTGAGTAGACAATGCTAACCTTGCCCTGACCTGGATAGCCCAGGCAAGCCAGATCTCGGAAGCTAGGCATGGCCGACCCTGGCAATTACTTGGATGGGAGACCTCCAAGGAAAACCAGTGCTGGGATGCAGAGGCAGGCAATAGTAAGTCACCTCTCTGAAATGTCCAAGCCCCACTCGGGGGTCACCAGAAGTCAACCATGACTTCCAGGTGCGCACACACACACAAAATACACAAAAAATTGTGACAATACTAACCTTGATGAACCAGGGGTCTGAGTCAGTATAAGGCAGCCTCATCTCTTCATGAATCTTTGGGGTACTACAGCTCTGTAGAAGCTGGGGGAAATCTCCCAGAATGAGTTCATTGCACCCTCCCAACATTCCAGTTTCACTCTTGGAATTATTTTAGTATTTTTAAATCTCCGGCCAAGCAACAATAAGGTTCTCTGTGTAATTGCTTTTCCCCTTCCCCTGTTACCCAAGGCAGCATCAGAAAATCAATATATAGAAAAACTTCTTCTTCTTTTTTGCTGGGGAGAAAGAACAAATGAAGGAGTAATCTAATACACGTGCCCCTAATTTTATTTATTTTATTCTCTGGATACTTTGGGTTGCTCTTTCATCTGAGAAGTTCCGATAAGTATCTGCGGGCACCTAGAGTCCCATAGCTAGGGATGGGCATGAACTGGCTCATGAATTAAAGTTTGTGACAAATTTTGGCTGGTTCATGGTTCATTAACTGACGTTCATGGCAGGTCAACCGGCAGGAGCTTTCCATGAATTTACAAGCCGTTCCTGGAGGTTAGACAAGGTTTGTGAATGGATACATTTCCAGACAAACTGTGTCCCCTCAATCAAAATGTTTACCAAACTTCAAAGCAATAAGGGGTTGGAATTCTTCAGCCTTGGAAACAGTCTTGTCAGTTTCAAACTAGTTAAGTCAGTTTCAAAAGGGTTCCCCCCCCCCTTTCCAGTGTTCCTTTCTGTTCCCTTCCCATTTTTTTGCACAGAACTTGCAAAATCCACCCCCGACTTGGATTTGTGCTTTGAGATCAGTCTTTTTAAGCTTTCAATGCCAGTAGCACTGGGTACTGCTGCACATTCTGTACACTGAATTGGTTGTACTGGGCTTGCACTTCCTCCCTTGCTTGGAAAGTGATTCTGTGTTTCACATCAGTCTTATTGAGCTGGCATTGCCACAGTGGCACTGGATTCTGCTGGGCATTCTGTACATTGCACTGGTTCTGCTGGGCTTGCAAAAATCCCTTCCCCCTTCAGTTTCTACTGCAGATTAACTTTAGTCCTTTTGGGTTTGCACTGCCATGGTGGCACTGATTCTGCTGGGCACACTGCACTGGTTCTGCTTGGCTTGCAGAAATGCCCCCCTTTAGTTTTTACTGCAGAGATTCTCTGGGACTTCGATTCTGTTCTGTGGGGCTTCTATTGGCCTTGCTTTTTGGGGGGCTATTTTTTCCCACCATTGGAAACAATGGAGGATGGGGCACCTTCTTTGGGGGGCCATAACGTGGACCCTGCAAATCCAATCCCCACCAAACATGGAGGGAAGATAGAGGAGAGGGAGCCAGAAATCCCCTGCAAGTGTAGTGTCTTTATCATGCCAGGAGGCCATTCTACCGCATCATGAATTAAACCAGTTCATTTGGCTGTTAAAAGTTCATGATGGTTCGTGGTTTGCGAACCGGGCACGCCATGAACCATCACGAACCATATTTTCCCGGTTCATGCCCATCCCTGCCCATAGTTTCCAAGATAGACCTGAACCATGTGCTGTCAGCCCACGCTTGGAGGTCTGCAATTTTATGTGGCTCTTCTAGCGATGAGCAACTGCCCTGAGGCACGCCTTCCTGCAACCCTTCCAGTCAAATTCCTATAGATATTTTACTCAAGCAGGACTCAGTTTTTTCTTGAATTTCAATTTAGGCAAAATTTGATGGCAACTAAACATGTGCCAAATGAGAGATGTTTTGGGAGCTCTACAGAATTCCTTTTTACGTCTCACGGGATTCCCATAAAACGATCAACAGGCCAGAGTGTCTCAAATTAATTTTGATTTCCGCTTCGAGACAAAATGATGTTATCCTAGGGCATGTGTGTGCGTGCGAGAGAGAGAGAGACCTGAAGTTCAGGAAGGCTAAAGGGCTGTCGATAGATTCCCCTTACTTCTAAGGTTCTTGAGGACAACGTCTTGGACAAGCAAGCAAGATCCAGTACTGTGGGTCAGTTGCTAGATCGTTGGCTTTGGAAGATTCAGGTCCCAGTCTGTTTTTCTGTGTTGCCTTGGGCAAAAAAAAAGCATCTTTCATTTTTTTCTGCTTCTAAAATGGGAACCACTGATAGGAGCGTGGATATGAGAAAGCAAAAAAAAAAAAAAGACTTTCACATGGGGAGGGACGCCATGCTTCACAAGGGAGCCTTTTGTCTGGGCTGCCAACTGGGCTAGAGGTGGAGGTTAGTGGCTGCCTGTGGCCTTGATGCTGGCCATGGGAGTGTACTATTTCCCCTGGGAACTGTGCTACACCCCTGCTCTGCTCATTCGCATGGAGGTCATTCCAGAGGGCGAGCTGTGTTGGTCTGCAGTGGAACAGCTGGAATTGAGTCCAGTAGCACCTTAGAGACCAACAAGATCTCGGGGGATAGGAGTTTTCGAGAATCAAAGCTCTGATGAAGGGAGCCTTGACTCTCAGAAATTCGTGCCCCCCCCCCCGAAATCTTGTTGGTTTTATGTGCTACTGGACTGGAATCTTTCTCACCCGGTGATGTGTTCTCTCTCTCTCTCTCCCTTCCTCTCCCCCCCTCGTC